GACAGTATGCAGCTCTGAAGGACATCGGTGGCTCACCATAGAAGGGCACTATCACACGAAGGCAACGTGTCGAAACACCAGCAAGAACTTCTAGGAAACGTGCATGTCAGTGGAAGAAAGAAGCCTCGATCATCCTACTGACTGTTTTATCCTTTTTGTAAAGGTTAACAAAAGCTTCAAAGAGAATTTCCGGCACCGCGTTGTTGCACATTCACTTTCGGATTTTCGGCATTTACAGTTTGTATTTTTAGGGTGTAGGCGAACATTATTAAGTTTTCGAGCTTTTTCCTGTTCTTCAGGTTTATAAAGTTTTCAGTTAGGCTTCCGTTGCTTAGAGAGTAAGCAGAAGAAAACACTCACCCGTAATTATTGATTTGGGAGCAATATACCCAATAAGCTTAAGAAATATTACAAAAAATGACATTTTCGTTTTTACAAAGCTGACGAATTTTAATGATAATAAATCGACATATGTTACGCATGATCCAACAACCTCCATATAAAAAGAAGAAGAAAAAAATCGGTGAGGCTTTTCTCCGCATCCGCCGGTTTTGCGGTGAGCTTTTCTCCGGTGAGCTTTTCTCCGGTGAGCTTTTCTCCGGGATTCGTTTTCCTGTAAAGCGACAACGATGGCTTTAAAAAAAAAACTATTTTTTTTTGCCTGCATAGCGTTTTATGAAAAATTCATTGTCAAAGATTGAAAAAACAAGAAACGCAGTCTCACGCACTAGTTGGAATAAGGTCAACTAGCCTAGCAAAATGTTAATGCGAGCTGTCGTAGTGCTTCAAAAAAAAAAAAAAAAAATCAGGAAGGGGGAGGGGGGTGACGGTCTAAAAAAGAAAAAAGAAAAGCGAATTTCGGGAGACCAGAGACAAACTGCAGCAGCCAAAGACCTGACCAAGAAGCAAAAATATAAAAAGAGCACTGGTGGACACGACAGGAGAGAGTGTGAGAAAGAACACAAAGCAATACGAAAGTGGGGCGAATTCAGTATCAGCACCTGCACAAAACACAAAATAAACATAAAAAAGAAGGGAAAAAAAAGCAAAAAAATACAGGAAAGGCGTCGGATCCGGGGAGAGATGTGTCAAACGGTTGCGCAAACTAATTCATCACGTCCATTACACGATCCAGGGAGGCACGGGAGGGAGCCGCGACGCCTCTCCAATCAGTCGCTTGGCTGTTTCTTCTTCCGCACACGGAGGACAAAAGCTTCGCTCTCTTCTCTTTTCTTCGCCTCGGAAAGAAACTTTCTATAATCGACGCACGAAACAAACAAAAAACAAAATAATACAAAATAAACTATTTTGAAACCTGCACGCCATCTAGTAGCCGCTGCGCCAATTATCAGAGTCCGCCATTGTTTGGGCACGTACATTGAGCATATATTTACGAGCGTTCGGTGACGACTCGGATCCAGCTCGACGCTTCGAGTCGAGTGGGTGGGTGAATGGATGGATGGATGCTAACGGCTGTACCCTTAATGACGGGCGGTAGCTCGCGCCACCTAGCCCAAGAAATGGCGATCGCCAATGTTGCGTGATGGGGTTTTGAAAAGGGCCTCTTAACAATGTGATGGAACCGAATCAGAGCCACACCCATTAGAGGTCGCGAACCTACCTAGCCTCAAGATTTTTTTTTTTTTTTAACGGAAAATTTGGACAAATTATTAGATATAATTATGAACACAAAATGAATAGATTAAGATATATTGATTACATATAATGATTTTTCCGGCTGTCACTAGTCGGCTAGAGTGCGCGAGTTGTGCTCCATTGCAGGTGGAAGTCAATTTATGCTCGCTAATGAAGTTTTCGAACCTTCGAGACTGAAGTTGCATTACTATGCGCGTGCGCGGAAACTGGGAACCAGCTGACGCCACCTGGCGGAAGCAGGTCGCAATATCTATTGAGTATATTGTGTTATTGTTTTACATTAATAGGCTAAACGAAGTTTTGGAAGGCATTGCATACATCTGCTCTTATATTGTGTAAATATCGGCAATCATTTTATAAATTATAAAATAAGCTACTTATTACACTATTTTTTTATAGAAATTTGTGGGAGATATTTGTTTAGTTCCTAGCTAGGTGGCGCAAGCTACCGCCCGTTATAAGGGGTGCAGCCGTTATCATCCATCCATCCATCCATCCTTCCTTTGTCAAGTTTTGTTGAAATTTCGACGAAAATTCGCGACATCCCTAGCCGCAAGGCACACAGCTGCCCGTGACCGTTATTAACTGATTTACAAGTATCGTCATACGCGAACACAATTTTTTTCCCCACAATTATTAGACTATTTTACATATATAAACGTACATACGAAGAACCGTGACAGCAATCAAAATTGCTGTTTTTCTTTTCTTTCTTTTATTAATCGAGGAGGAGTTTGTGGGAATAACGGTCCTAGACGTTTCTGACCGTTGGTCAGCCGCCGGTGCTGTCAATCAAACGGGCTTTCAGATCGTTCGATTTCTATGCTGACGCACACGTCAGGCCATGACAATAGCACGGATTTACAATAGCCACACCCTTAAACTCATACACGTTTCTAGTTCTATTTTTATTATATTCGTTTCTTTTTCATTTAAACCGCAATATACCTAAAAATATGCCTAGAAAAAGGAGCTTGTTAAGAGGCGTTGAAGCAGTACTAAGATATGTATATATATGAGATAATTACCGAAAATAGTTTGTTCATACTGCGTTGAAACTGCTACACTCGACAACGGCGTAGACGAGTACACGGGCGACCGATGGGATAGAGACATGCACTCTTACACCACACCATGCTGCAGACGGATGCTAAGTGGTTGCGTTACTTGCGTTTCGAAATATCTGCGCTTCTAAGCCTAAAGGGCGGCGATTCACACACTTGCGTCGAGTCCGAGCGACTGCAAATGGCTTGCGACGTACGGTTTGCTATGGGAACAGCTGCGCCGGCTCCAACAAAACCGGTTTTTACCCCGTTCTGTTGAAGCAGACGCAGCCGTGGCCATAGCAGCACGTACGTAGTTGCAGTCGCACTGGGTCGGTTTCACTCAAGTGTGTGAATCGTCCTTAACGGTGATGCTCTAACAGCTAACAGTCAGACGTCGTCAAATATGTGGGCCTTATTTCTTTCGCGTGAAACACAGGCGAATGTCTTCCACACACAATGTCTTCACTTTCATGCATGGCTGAAGAAACGTGACTCCAGATTCAAGCTCGTCTGCGAGTCTTCTGAAGCCTGAACGAATTGGCGCGGGGTGTTTCTCCTTGTGACCTCTCACTTAATGAACGTTTGGGGAAAAAAAAACAAAAATAAAAAAACGCAACGTTCAAATGGTGACCACAGTCTCCGGAACTTCATTTAACTTATTCTCTGGCCGGAAGAATGAATACACGAGGCCAAGCGAGAAGTATTTTACCGAGGCATGCCGCGATAAAACAATGGACAAAGCGAGAGAATTCCTGGACAAAAAGGGAAAAAAACAACAAAAAGACAAAGGCCTCCAAGAGAGAAAGTTCCCTCGTAGTCAGCTACCGTTAGTGCTGGAGATAACACAAAGCAGGCAGCACGCGCGCGCGACAAGCCGCTCGCTTGGCGCAAATCCCCAGCGGGGAAAAGAACCTTTCCCTGGTCCTACCCGAGTGCGCGCCCAGCAGTCCAATTAGGGAGGATTTGCAGCGCCGCCGGCTCCGCCGACCGGTGTGTCAACGGGATTGGGGAAAAGTCGGCGGGCACTATACTGCTACGGCACCACTCTCGGTCGGCCCTGGTGGCCCCTTTGGCGCTGTTTTACTTTTTTTCCTTTCGCTCTCTTGTCTGTTTGCTACACTGAGGAGATTCCCGGTGTTATTCCTTTCCTCCTTCCCCAATCCCGGCGGCGGTCCGAGCAGCGCGTGCCCGGGCGCCCTTATTTTTACACCGGCCAAAACCCCCGATCCCTAATCAGGGACAAGCCGCTTAGCGAAGGGAGGAATACGGGAGCATGAGGGAGAGACACTCGAGGAACAGATAGAGTTGAAGGGAGGGAACGGTGATGTGTGATGAGATTAAAGCAAAAACAGGGAAAGGGGGAGAGAGACATTCGGGAGGATTTTCATTCGAAGAAGTGACAATTAGTACCGATGAGGAGGAGATGCATGCAGTCCCGATTGGGGAGCACATGCGAACGTCTGCGAATGAGGGAACTTTCGGGGACATTTGAATGAAGAAGGGAGGTATGTAAATTGTTTTAAGCGTTTCTCAGTGTGCTAGAGATTTTCTCAGGATATAGATGGAAGGTCCACAAATCACACAGGTAGCAGGTTTTTGGAGTTGAGGGCAGTTTTTATTGACGTTGCACCCAGTATATATGTCACAATTTGGGGAAAATAAAACTCCTTCCCAAAAGCCGACTCATGGCCTGATGAACGGTGATACGAAACGCAAGGAGCCAATAAATGAGAATCTTCCGTGAGTAGATATATGCGCATGGGGAACGCAAAAAATGAAAATGTCGTGAACCAGAACCTTATATTTCATCTATGAAATTTCCAAGCTTAAATAGTACATCCACAAAGATGCAACTATTTGAACTCGATACTCCTCGCAACCAAACTGACCGTGGCGTCCCTTTTAAGTGAGATAACATGGAATTATTTTATTTCACACCACTCAAACAATTATGTAACACCAAGACCGTTGTTTTATCGGTGTATTCGTAAAGCAAATATAAACCTTAAGGCAATGTGAAAACACGGGCGTCTGTTGAATATAGCCACCGCGGGACTCGACCACATGAGATTCGCCAGTCCGTCAAAGATACCGTGATTTAGCCCATCAACTTGGAGATATATCGCAATTTACAGGGGCTCCAAGTTAAGCCAACCACTCAGCATGATTTCTCGAGCGAGCATTTCAAAGAAGTCTCGTAATGTGTTTAATTTCTGTAAACAATGTTGTTGTTGTTGTTGTCTTTTTAACAAAGAAAAACGTTTTTATCGCGTTGAGAGGTGATCAAAAGACACTCACCAGTTGTTGACTTGGAGGATGGTGAGTCCGGTGTCTTGGGCCAGCTGCTTCTTCTGGTCTTCGGAGGGATACGGATGCTGCGCAAACGAAAAAAAGAGAGACAAAACAAATTAAAGCTATATTCAAATGTACGCATTGCGTTCGAAGCGTGGTGAAGCACCTCACTGGTCAGTGTGCAAAAGAGGTACATTCGCACACAGTTTTCGTGCGGGTAACCGACGACGAAACACAAATCAACGTCCCCAGCAACGCCGATCACGGCGAGAATAGCTCAGATGACATCCTAATTTTTATGTCGATATGTTTTTCACATCGGTGCCTGTTCTGACAAATGGCTTAAGACGCTGAGTGGCAAGCAACAGTTGGCTTCAGACCTTCCGTTCACGTGTGAGTTCATTCAGCAGACGTTTTGTTGACACGTTGACGGTGACCGATGTAAGACGGACTTCATCGTTAAAGTTAAAAATTAACGCGAGTGGGTGGCTGTTTTTTTCGAACGCCTACTATTTTGAGGTGTCTTACACGGAAAACATGTTTTGTTGGCCACAGGCACGTAGCCAGGATTTTGTTTCGGGGGGGGGGGGGGGGGGGGGGGGGGGGGGGGGGGGGGCGCCCATGACAAAGGGGGATGCTGTATGAAGGGGAGGGGGGCGAAGAGGTCCCAGCAAAATGGAAAAATTTCGGGGGGGGGGGGGGGGGGGGGGGGGGCGGCGGACCCCCATCGGCCTCCCCCCTGGCTACGTGCCTGGTTGGCCATCCGGCGTAATCTAACTGAATGCATTTCAACCGAGAATAATTGTATTTGTAAACGCTTTTTTGTTTGCCAGTAGCGTGTACACGATTGGTTTATACTCACTTTCTTCTAGTTCATTTGGTAGGACCTGGTTCGACGTATCTTTCGGCTAAAGAATATTTGTAGAGGATGTGAAGACATATCTGTCATATCTGATATATAACCCGTTCGTTCATTTCACAACAACATGGGATGGTTGTATTTTTACTGCCTATAGGTTAGTATTTCCACTTACCGAGGGAAAAAAAAGTAAAAATGTTTATTACCAGATGAAAGGGCAAAGTTTGTCCATGAACGAGATTTTGTTTTCTTCTGCCGTTGGATCGGAGTGCTTTCTGAGACAGCACACTATCGCGAGGGTGATTCGCGGATGGCCGCATAATGAACGACCGCCGCCTCGGTGAAGACAATAGATTCGTTGCTAGGGTCGGCGCCATTCAACCAGACAGGCACATGATTTATGTTCGGCGGCATCTCGAACGCAAACTCGCCTGTAGCTGGAGAGCGCTGCCTCTTCGATCGCGGGGCCACGCTGACGGCTAGGCGCATGCCGGATGTTTTAGCGATATAGACTGTTTTCGTGTGACGGTTGCCATGTTGGTTTGGGCGACAAAAAAACTTAAGTGAATAGTTTAAGCACAACTACAATAAAAAAAAAGTACAGACAAGAAAAAAAAAGTAGTTATTGGTACGAACCCCTTGAATTCGTCTTCCAATCAGCAAGTAAAATGACTCGGCTACGTCACAATTCAATATGACGGCCGCCATGGGGAAAAACGGTCTATATCTACCTACACAAATACGTGCCTCTACTGCGCTCCATGTTCGGTTACGAAGTGTGTGAGGATATATGAAACCTTTCGCAGTTTCCACTCGTGTTCGAGCCAGTAAAAACAGCAAAATTGTTTCCGTTTGACATAGGAACGGCAGAAATCTACAGGACGAAGACTCCTGTTTGATCAGTGTCCGAGGCACAGAAACAGATGAATTTATCTAATAGTTAATGAAGAGTTTCGCAATGTTCAGCAACGACACCGAGTTCCTCTTGGTCGAACTCTATTTTCCATTGCCTTGTACAACATTTATTTTGCCTCATTCATGCCAAGAACGTCGCGCGAAAAGAACCACTTCCCCGCTTCCATCGCTGCCATCTCTGAAGCCACAAACGTCGAGATTGCGACAAAATCATCTGCTATAACCCCTCCTCTTTGTAATGCGGCTTGTAAGGATGAGAATAAATCAATAAAATAAAAACAATACTGTTTTTCTACGCTTAAGTTTGGTGCTTAGCCATGGTTCAAAAGCTAGCGTCTTGGCCACCGTGAGTGGTAAACGCTTTGATGCACGTGCCTTAGCAAGGCTCGACTATCAGACGATCTAGACACACCAGAAACAAGATGGCGGCGCCCAGAAGCCGCCCTTGCAGATGCGTATGAGGATTGAAGTATGGATGTACAGGTATTACTATCTGGGGCAAAAAATCTCGGAATGTTGAGAAGTTGCAATCGCACTTTTGTTGCTCCCTATCTTCGCTCAAAGCACCCAAGCTCCCTGCCGAAGAGCGACTAATTACAAATTAGTTCTCATCTTCTATCGTTTTGTGATTAGGAACGACCTGGTTTGTATCGTTGGACCACCAGAAGCGCTGACCGGCAGCCGACTATGGCGCCCCATCCTCACCGTTTTGGGCCTGTACTGTGAATTGGTTCGTACATGCATGCCAATCACTAACAAACTGTTGCTGCCTTCAAAACGTTTGAATTGCTCCATCGTTGTTCCCATCCACAAAACTGAGCGCTTGGTGTTATTTGTTTTTAGTTGAATGTTTTGTACTATATCATATCTTTCGTTTTCCATCTAAAAATTAATAATACAGTTAGTTTTTCTCAGTCTAAACCATTGTCAGTGTTGTTTACTGCTTTTCTTTCAACGAGGGGAGTATTGTGTCATATATAGTTGCTTGTGTGTGTATTACTTGTGTATTTCTTTTATTTCGTTTGTTGATTAACCTCCGCTGAGTGTCTGTAATATGGAAGGAGAGGGGAAACCAGTCAAGCTGCTTGGGCGGTTTTTGTTTCAGCCTCCCCCCCCCCCCCCCCCCCCCCCTTTTTCCTCCGGCATGCTTGTACATGGTGAATAAAGGTATTATTATTATTGTAAAAAATTAAGCCACTAGAAAATGATGGACAATAGTAACCGATCAATGTTTATTTATAGTGTTTGTTTCCTCACTGCACCGGAATGGCGACCAAGAAAAAGCGAGATCGACAGAGCTCTTCCTACCGAATCCCCATTGAAGTAACATGAGCCGGACGACCAGCAGAGGAATCGCAGGGACGCGGTCCACGGGCCCAACCACAAAGTCTAAACGTGCAGCGGGATAAACGGCGCTAAGCCTAATCCTCGGCCCCCTAAGCCTAAACTGGCTAGGCCCTAGACGCGCGTATACGCGACCGCGGCCGCCGCTCTAGGCCTAACCCCCCGAAAGAAGAAACCCTCCGTGCAACAACAATGGCAGCGGGGTTCGATTGCTGGCTGGATGCTGGTTCCCCAATCTCCCTAAAGGACGTGTCATGGGCGGAGAGAGGGAAAGGGGAAGCGGAGGGGGGGACGCACCAAGTCAGTTTGCCCCCCCCCCCCCCTCCCCCGCACGCACGCACAGGTCTTCGGTGGGTCCTCTCGCTGTGGCGATGATGCACGGTATACACTCTCCACCATTCAGCTGACAGCACGGTGGAAGCTAAGGGCTCTTATACTTGTACGTATAACTTTCCCCACGTGATCACGCTCTCGCCCATATTCACCCGTAGAGAGCGGGTTCAGGCAATGAAATGGAGGCGGTTCATTGGTCCGGCTAGAGCTTCGAGTCCACTGTACTGCCAGCTTAGGGGACAGAACAGAGTATAGCGAGCTCCAGATGAAAACGAAAGTATACAGGGATAAGAGATTTGGGGAAAAAGGTGGGCCGGGTGAAAAGGGGAGCTGGAGTAGTAGCCTAGGGGGGAAAAAAAGAGAAGGGGCGGAGGGGTGAGGTGGTTTTTTTTAAAGCAGCGGGGGCAAAAGAGAGCATTCGTGTCCAAAGCGATAAATCTCGTTGGTGTCAAACAGAGCGTTGCGTGGTACAAAGCGAAAGAGGACGGGGGGAGGGGGAATGGGGCCCCCGGGAACCCCCCTTCCCGAAATTTGCATCTATTGTATTCGGTGCGTCGAAGATGCCTCGTCCCGTACCGCGGGCGTCCCGCTGTCTACTCGTATCCGTGGACTCAGCTGTGCAATGTGTGGAAAGTTTTATTTTTTTTCTTTCTTCGTAGTTTGCGGGATCACAATAGACAGGTAAAGGACCGAACTAACTGGGAGTGCCGCCTCCGACGAGCGCGAGAGGTGTGAACAAGCGACGCGCACGGAACTTGAAATGGCACCGCTCAGTCACCACCACGGCGGTCCAGGGATCGCTGAGTGCGGAGACGCAGGGAGACAAAAGTTGCAGGGACCGGAAACGACGGTGGGTGCATAGAGAAGGCAAACCAGATTCTAAAATTACGTGTCGCACGCGTCAATGATCCTGAGGATTTGGGGATGAACAACAGCTATCGAGGGGGAAAAAAGAAACGGGAACATGATTCCTTTTTTGTCCGAGATCATTCCAGCGATTTCGATGTTCGCCGCCTCGCTTTTTTTTTTTTTTTATTACGCTTACATTTATTAGTGCTGCTTTGAATGTACGTTGTCGTAACTATTTTCGCGAAAGTAGTCCCGCGACGAAAATCAATAAAAGCAGGTGTGATTGAGTATTCATGGCGAGAGTATTAATTTATAGCGGGTGCTTCTCCTGAATTGTTTTCCCCAAACCGCAGTGTTTACCGGCGTTGCCAACTCAAAAAAAGAAAAAAAAAACTGCCATAGAAATTTTTAATGGGAAAGAAAACAACTAAATTTGAGACGCTTTCATGCACAGAATGATAACCAAGCATCATCTTGATGTTACCATGTGTGCTGCCATAACTGATGCTTTGCAGAAGAGGAAAAGTCAAGTTTATACACAAAAATAAAATGGGACAAAAAAAAAAAAAGGTAGAAGCAGCGTTCACACATCTATGAGGGAACATGCCCAAAGCTGCCCAAAAAGGACTCAGTGTTCGCATGACAGCTTGTCACTGATCATGCCGCGACGACACGTATTCACATGTCGCACTCTGTAACGTTTGGACATGCCCGCCGAGTTGTTGTCGTGACGGCTGTCAAAAAGCAGAAAATAAAGCAGGCCCCGAATACAAATGGAGAGGT